CCAATCCAGATTCCAACGACATTCTTCAAAGAGATGGAAAAAACAATTACAAACTTTTTTTATATGGAAAGGAAAGAGACCCAGGATAAGCAAAGCACTGCTTAAGAAGAAGGCTGGAAACCTCTCACTCCCCAAATTCAAAATTTACTACACGGCTACACTGGTCAAAACAGCTTGGTACTGGAACAATGAAAGATACATAGATCAATGGAATAGAATCAAGAAATCCAGAAATTAACCCATCTACATACAGCCAACTGATTTTTAACAAAACACCTAAATATATTGCATGAGGAGGTGATAGTCTCTTCAACAGATGGTGTTGGCAGAACTGAAAAGCGATACACAAAAGATTGAAACAAGACCTTCACCTCACACCTTATACAAAAACCAACTCAACATGGATTAAAGACCTAAATGTGAATCCCAGAATTATGAAGGCCATCAATGAAAACATTGGGACAGATGTGAAGGCACTAATTCAGGGAATACACAGACTAGAAAACATTTTGAAAACCAAACAAATGAAAGTAGAAAAAATAGATGAGTGAGACATACTAAAAATTAAAAACTTATGTGCATCAAAAAACTTCACCAGAAGAGTAAAAAGGGAAACCACAGAATGGGAAAAATCTTTTGCAATGACATATCAGACACGGGAATTATTTTTAAAGTATATAGGAAACTACAACACCTCACAAGAAAAAGACAAATAACCCAATTAAAAAATGGGCACAGGACATGAACAGACACTTCACCAAGGAAGAGATCTAGGCAGCCAACAAACATATGAAGAAATGTTCACAATCACTAGCATTAGAGAGATGCAAATCAAAACAACAACGAGATACCATCTCACAGCAGCAATAACAGCAAAGATCAAAAAAGTAGAAGACAATAAATGCTGGCGGGGATGTGGAGAGACTGGGACACACCTGCATTACTGGTGGAACTTCAAAATGGTCCAACCTCTCTGGAAAGGAATATGGTGCTTTCTCAGAAGGTTGAAAATAGAAATACCTTATAATCCAGTAATTCCTCTACTTCATAATTACCCACAAGAAATACGAGTCATAACACAAGTAGATATATGCACACCAATGTTCATAGCAGCACTATTTACAATAGCAAAAAGATGGAGACAGCCAAAGTGCCCATCAACTGAGGAATGGATAAACAAA